CTGGCTGACAAAAACAAATAAGCGTGAAACGACCAGCCACGTCTACATCCGAGTTCGGTTTGTCAACCTGTGGCTGACCTGCTAGTCAAGCTACTGTCCTGCCATACTTAGTCATCCTTGTGAACCGATTATGAGCTTTTGCATGTATGCTTAGGGCATCGTCTGATATATTAGATCAACAAATAATAGGCTTCGCAATGATATTTATCTGTGTTTCCTGTGTAGGAGCTACCAGTGACTGATTACTAGCTGATAGCCGGTGAATTGAATCGCACAGAGCTTTGATAAAAACTATAAATGGCCTTCGTCTTCTTTCGTATAGTCATTTGTCTCTTATCCTGACCCTCACGAGAGAATGGAGATGTAATACTACCTATGAGAGTAACAACAACAATCCATAATAGACAAAATGTCAACCTCTAATCAAAAGTAACTCGAATTACCTTTAAAGGCCTTTCGACGACGGTGGAAATTTCTCCGTGTCATAATAACTGCATCGGAACTTACTCTGTCTTTTTCGTACTAATAAAGTTAAAACTGCTACTGCTCAACTACTAATAATTCGATTTTTGTTTACGGTAACTGATTCCACATGAATTTTATGGATGCATCGAGGCATGGTTCAGCGGCAAGTTAGACGTCGGTTGAATTACCACGCGCTTGATTAGGTAAGGTTTACGCTAATGTCGAGTTTCCATATTGGCCTCGAGGGATATTTGTTAAACTAGTGCAAGTTGTAGTACTAGTTCTTATCGGCTGTCGCCACCTCCATTTAGCCAGATATGGTCCCGTTGAACACAGGCGTACGCAATGGCAAATCAGCTGGCGATGAGCGGGTCATCGTAAGCGTCGCTTTTGCGGTTTTTGCAGAAACCTGTAGGTTTGAAAAATGAGTTGTAGTAGTATCATACGCTATCACTCAATTGAAATGAAGGGACACATTGCACCGCTCACTGCGCCCATAGTTAAACTACGCTAATAATTTAGTATGTGAATGACAACCGTAACGCCTAAACAATCTTACAGAGATGGAGCTGTTTTTCGTAAAATGCCCAGCATGGAGGCTGCATTTTGAAGAACCTCCTGTCTTGCCACGGGTTCCTTTTCGCCTAGAGCACCCTACTTAACACGTCTAAGGAGCAGTGAGCGCCTAAGGGGAATATTTCAGCGAGGACCGACTATATTGTGAACCTCGCGATGTAATCTACCACGACGATATGAGTAATTATTGGCGCAACTTGCAATACATTACCCAATGCAAACACACGTTTTTAGAAACTAATTAATGCCGTCAACGATCTCGCCAATGTGGCTATAATTATAGTACTGGGACGGACTACAAAGACAATATTAGTTCTGCCACTGCCCTACTCCGCTCTTTGTTCCTGCGACAGTCGCTGGTTCAACGATGGCCGATTTGGTTCTGGCCCGGTCAGTTTTCGTTTGATATCAGCATTTTCCTTGGGGAACAGGCAGTGACGGGGTGTCATTTTCGCTTTGCGAAGCAAATGGCTTCATAATGAAGCAACAGTCCTTGGCGCTGTCGTCGCTCGCCGTCACCCTCTTCCCGGAGTTATTTTATGTTTCTATATTACGCTTATTGGCCCAGGACCCCAGCTCTTCTTAAAGCCGGCCGCTAAAAACCGCTGTTCGTTATCTGCTCTTTCCCCAATAAATCAACTCATCTTTTATATGCTCCCGTTCGCTGCACATGTTTCTCCTTTTTCTAAAGAAAGCGACAAAGAGTTGCGGCGGTCGGCCAGCCATTTCGTCCTGGAACGACCGTCCCGTTCCTCTCCGTCCTGCTGTCTTCGGACGTTGACGAACGACGACGAGTAAAAGGCCATTGATGTGCTCTCTCATGTAAATGAACCTTCATTTTTACAGACGCAGCACCGCCATCGTCAGGCAACTTCTTCTTCCACCAACCTTACTGCCGGTGCTGCCTTTACGCCTTCACAACACCCCCGACCGACATGCGGGCGAAAAACCAACCAGGAAACCATTCTCTCCGCTCAAATGTTTTCCTCACGGCCACTAATGTTACGTGATGTCCCCGACTGTTCCAGAGCAGGCAAATAACACATGAGGCATTGCTATATACGATGGCTATCAAAACGACCTTATCTGCGCGTACTGCCTAGAGAAATAAGAGGCATCTCTAGCAGAAACGGTAAACCGCTTTAGATTTAAATGAGATTTACTCGATGCATGGGCATACTTCATAATTGTTGGATCGATAGGATTAACAGCATAGTGCCATTATGTACAAGTGGAAAAGCAGACATTCTGATTCAATGGGGGAAGGCATAACTAACATCCCTGTGATCAGGGTCAAGATTTTTTCTGGCATATGCACGAATGCGTATCAGCTAAGCTTCTGCTCATAAACCTACATGCATATATATAGTTTGCATGTATCTTTGCCGCAACTATTAGCGCGGAAGCAAAATTCCCTTTTGCCGTTGTTATTGGTGATCTCTGGTGGGCTCTAGATGACTCTGTCGCTCTGTCCAAGTCAGCTGTCTGTAGTTGAACGCCGTCGAATATATCACGGGCGCCCAATATCTGTTATATCTCAGCCTTATTTTACATCTTTCAAATAACGCCATGTTCTCTTTTTGATCCCTGTTTGTGTATTAATATTCAGTTACTACCGCTCAATTTGCACTCTTAGATAAAAGCTTATATTTATAATTTGCTTGCCTTTCTCTCTCAGTGCTCTTATATTCAACGCCCTACAACGTTTCTCCAACCACTATATGTCCGCTTGCTTCCGACCTTTCTATATTTCCCTCTAAACTTAAGAGGTCGTTTAACTTGTTGTCATTAAGCTTAGTATATTTCAATTGTGAGTGAGGTTAGAATACTTAAGAATCAGCTTTGTAAGATTCTTGTATGATTGCGCCGTGGAATAAACGTGTTTTATCTCAATAGAAGGGTTTCTTTAGTGCAAATTACGGCCGCCGTTTGTCTCTCGGCCTTGTCCTAACTCAGGCCTAGATCAGGCTTTGCTTTCTACCCATCCTCCGGGCTGCCATTAGTGCCACAATCATCAGCGTTGTCGTCATCGGTACTACCATCACCGACTTCGGGTGTACCTCCATATTTCGCCTGCTCTGTTCTCCTAATTCGCCCTTTTGTGGTTTGTATCTTCGTGATTCGCTTTTTTTTTCGTGAGAACCATTCTACAAAGTTCCGTATGATGATGTGAGCTGCGGACCGCACACGCGACAAGGAACGTCATCAACGAACATTAAAACGGAAAAGGCAAACCCCATACATAGGAGTAGGGAGTGAATAAGTTGGGTGGAAGGAGGGGGAAGTTGTAGAGGAGCAATCTGTTGCACGATCAGTGTTGAAGAGAGAAGATAGAATCTGTAAGCTCACCCATCGAGGCAGTAACCGACTGCCAATAAAAAGCTACATTCACGCCCATCATCACCAATAACAATAACAACCGCAACAACAACAACGCCAAATGCAATGACCGTAGAAACAGAAAAACAAGCCGCCACAACGAAACGGTATCATCTTTGCCGCAAAGGGAACAGCAAACAGGGCTAGGGAAGGAGGAAAGAAATCAGACACGACAAAAAACTCTTACCAAAAACAGTATCAAACGACGCTTGCCAGCAGAACAAAAATAATGGTAAGGAGGCCGTGCTATTAGCGAAGTTAAAATGTTATATCTGCTTTCTTATGAGCAAAGCTTTTGAGACAAAGGAAAAAAGCACGCCAAAGGCGGATTTGTTCTTATAATTTGGGAAAGTTGATGTTTTATGATTTGTCGACCGCTATTTCCACTGGCTATTACAGGTGAAAAATTTCAAATACAGAAACCTATGTTATGTTGGTCATGGAGCGCTGGTCTAGCCATTTTATAATGTATACGACGAGAAAAGTGTATAGGGTACGTTTAGCATACTCCAAAATATAATAGATCAAAGGTTATCATAACTAATTTTACGTTGTAGGCATGACAGCGCCAAGGCAATGGTACTACCGGGTTACGCAGGCGTCTTAGATATCGCTTTGGGCACTCTCTATTATACGCTTTACCCTCATTGTTAATTTTTCCTTCGTATCCGTAAATACACAGTAAACTTCCGGCCATAAACAGCAGCTAGATATTTAAATCGTTCTACCATATCTTTTTAGCTTCGTTGTTTACTAGCTTGCATTTTTCTTGGTCTGGCTAAGGTCTTCAACACGATTTTTATATTTTCGAGAAAAAAAGGGTAAAATTCTATGTCTCATCCACCACTTTATGCGATGATAATTGTAGTGCGAAACGAATACGGGTAGAACGCGTTCGCTAGACGCATCCCCTTATATTCAGATAGGTAGTCTATTGACGCAGATAACGCCGGACTTGAACGACACGTGAATAGTGAACGTTTTTTCTAGTAGCAGAGTCATTAACAGTTGCCAAATGAAATCACTGTATCGAAAACACTTACCAAGATAAAAACGGCCGTAACAAAATAATAGTGTGTCGTTTTTGACTGTTTCTCCTCGCGCCCAGAATAAAAATCACGATAAATAATAGCCAGAATAAATATAAGAAAAATTTTCTTTGGTAAACAATCCTGTTCAATAATCACCTTGCCAGTATGGCGACGAATCATTCATTCTGATCTGAAACTCTACTGGGGAGATAAGTACAGTATAGTCACAACCCCTCAAAGATGTGTACAAGTTAGATAGACGATAGCAGCAATACCAGTCAGGTAAATTAGAATTTACACTCAAAATATCTCAGGGAATACTTGGTTAGCTTTAGTCGTAAAGGCATATTTTTTGTGAGATCCCTACGCGTCTGTGTGAGTAAATGTCTCTCACACTAGACATGGGGTTTATGAGTATTCTTAGATTCACCCCACTTTTGTTTAATCTATGTGTAATGTTATGAAGGAGTCGTAATCGTCGTCGTACCTTCCGTATTAGTAATCTGGATGAATTCCACAGTCTTGCAATGAATGTTACACCTTACTTACCTGGAAGTAGGGATTCATGTTGATGCCCTGTGACCCAAAATGGTATGTTCTAGATATGTCTGGTATAACGCATTCCCTTCCCTGACGAACTCGTGGCTGTCTAATCCACATATCCCAGTCCCACAATTTGTCCGCGGAAGGCCAGTGTGGCTCGAGTTCCTTCTTGTATAGCGATCTCTTCAGGAGCCAGCCAAGACCAGGCATCCCGTCAATGCGGTATAATAATGCCGGGTCCTGGGCTGAATGTTCGTAACCATGGTCGTTCCAGGCCGATACGCAATAAAGGCTTGGGTCCTCCCGAAGTAAGTGTACCGTCTGGCTGAAGTAAAAAAAGAAGTCGGGGGAGACGTCAAGGTCTTCTTCGATAACAATGGCGAATTCTGCTCGAGGGAACATGCTAAACGTCGCCGTCAATGAAGCTTTGTAGTGTTGCGATACGCGGGCGTTCCGTACTCCAATTGGCGTGTGCTGCACGCCACGCACGTCCAGTAGCCGCGTCACCTAATTTAGTACATAACAAATTGGGATTTGCGAAATGAAAAAAGAACAACAAAACAGAATATAATCGACTTTGCTATCACATTAACAGGTATATGAGTTGAGAAATTTAAAACTAGCAGGACGGGAATTATAAGCTCATCTCATAAGCAAGCGACTTTAAACCACCATTGTTTCGCTAGCCTAAAAAAGGCAAGGATAACATATATCAGCAAAGAAAATTATAAAGTCTGGGATCGATTTTTACCTGAAGCGGTTCCTCGAAATAGCCATCAATGAACACGGTAACTGCCGAACGATTGACGCCTGGCGTATTGAGTAACGTGCGCAACATCCGGTAGAGGTAATGCGGTCGATTGGAGGCAATTATAACTACTGGCACATCAGATACGTTGTTGACTAATGAAGCCAATGAAGGCGGAGTGAATGATAACGGTGCAGGCGACTCGCATGAACACACCGAGCCATAACCCTCAATGTGGTTACAAAAGGCCCGCCTCCGACTCGTTTCGGGTGATTCAGGCCATCGCGAACACTGAGTGTCTTCCAGTGGAACCAATGGCACCTCTGCCTTGAGGTAAACGGGCGCACCCCATGCATTGAATTCGGGACTCTTCGAGTACGTTTCGCCATAAATAACGCTTAGCTGGTTATCAGCTTGAATACCTTTTCGACACACCATAGCCCACATATCTCGCCATCCGATGGCTTGACTTTTCGTCGAGCCAAGCTTTCGAAGAAGATCTCGAGCAGCTGCCTTCATTTGGAAAGTGCCCTCGTCCTTAAGGGCAAAGATGAGAATTCGTCCATCAGACACCATATTCAAGAAGAATGCCATCATTTCGTCTTCATGGGGTGAGTACGTATCGAACAAACGTTGCGCCATAACACTGCCCTAAAAGTGTAATAACATTAGAATATATGTTAGCAGGTGTTAGAATAGAGTCAAAAAATCGGTCCTTCATAAACAGTTTATAGCGTAGGTTTTTTACTTTTAGCTATCCAACAAAATGACCACGTCCGACTGCGTGGTGTAAAGGAAACAAAAACCTGTTAGTACGTAAGCGGCTGGATTATCTAAGGATAATTAGATGATGAGTAAAGTTATTTTTTATGCAACTGTTTCCAAAGCTTGCACTGATATCAAGTCATTACTGTTTCTCATAGACCTTGCACAACTTGTTCTTGTGTGGCGGACATTCATATCGGAACTGAAGCCACCTGTCGAGCGTCGGAGTTGACTTTTCATTTTTCGGAAGATGCAACCCGCCCATCTGTGCCCTTGCGATAGCGACGCTGCCGACCCCCCCCCCTAGCCTGATAACAACGACAACGAGCACAGTGCTCGTGATCTTTTCCTTATTTTACCCTGCATTTACTACTCCATGTGTAACATAGTCTTATAGATAGTCCGACGCCTGTGATAACCTCTAACTGAAATGAATATCTGAAAAAAGCTGAAGCAATCTATGGCAATCTCTGTAGGGTATCAAATTCACACGAACGCTTGACTTTTAGGGACTTTACGATGCATACATTTACCGTGTGTTAAAAGGATAGCGGGGAACCGGCGAAACCAAGGCTCAGGTCAGGGTGCTATAGGACTATATATGTATATATAGATATATATGCGCAGGCATACATCCACATACAGTAGCAACAGTATTAGTAGTCAGAAAAAAGATGGCAAGCAATGGCCACCGCACCGAAGACTCGTTCGTTGTAAAGTTCTTGGCATGAGAAGCTCACCCAAAAGTCGTCACCCTGACAACAAAAGTGACGATGATTTTACTGGTTTACCGACTGCTCAGCCTTGCGTCACAGCTCTGGAGTTAAACCACCGAGGGGGTAACATAACCGGCAACGCTGTTGTTATTGCAACACTATTACAGTTATAACTGCTTATGAAAATTGAATTCTTTTACTTTTGCCGTACGTAAACGTCCACTTGTCTATGTGTAAGCATCGTAAGTTAATTTGCATATTTGTTTGTAGTCTTCGAAGTGTCTATATGGGTTGATTTTTTTAAGGTTTTTGGCATAATAAGTAGTGGTGTGGTGTTCCCGTATCTGTGTAGGCTAGCTTAAAGAAACCAATATCACATATATAAAGCTTTATTATAGTAGTGACTATGTGGTATTCAGCTAAATCCTCCCTACTGCTATAGTGAGAACCTTGAGTAAGGTACGTATCCCAATGTAAATGACAGAGCTCGCTTATAACTTTGTGGTTCTATGTAAAGTCCAGCTATGGACCAGGTGCTATATGTGGAGATGTACAACGATCTTAGTGATTAAGACAGCTCAGCAACTTGATATACGATGATAACATCTGCAAAACGCAGTACGCCGGTATGACGACGACCAGCGAGTATTTAGATGCGTATGAGCAAGGGGCTCATGCCTTAACAAATTTCTAATTACGCGGAATCGTGTCTGTGGGGGAGCAAGTGGGGCAATTTAGTATCTTTACACTGGCAACCCAGACAACACGGTGTATCATCTGCTGCTGCTGCTTTAGCAATTATAACATAATTACCGAAAGAGTTGATCAGATACTGCTACTATGAAATGTTTAATAGAAACTTACTGGTCGTCACTAGAACCTTAAGGTATGCGTTATTGACATACATACAAAGATATTATCGTGTGACTCTTCTCTGCAGTGACAGATTTTCTTATTTTCGAAGAAACTTCGTCCATCGACAACCGATTAGTCATCTTCAACTCTACATTTTGCTAGCATATGAAGCAAAGCTGCTTCTACATATCGAAAACGTTGACTTCAATTCAATTTGAGGTAACTTTTACTCAGCTAGTACATTTAGCATAAAATTTTAAGTTAAGTTATACAAAGATTTGCTATTTGGCGTTTAATGATTGAGCGGCGGACCTTGTTTATCCATAGCCTAAATTGACAAGCATGGCGGACGGGTATGCCGAATAAAAAGTAAATCAACTTAAAGATGTGGTTCCCTATATTGACCAGCTTCGGCTTTACATACGACTACATAAAATTTGCTGCAATCCATGTTGGCAGGCGGAGGCCCTTTCGATGCTCACCGAGGCTGAAAACAGAGTGACTAAATAAAACAATCTCTTTCAACACTAATAGCGCAGTATCATGTAGGCACTTGTTTACTTACTGTCGCCTGATTTAGGACCAGCACATGGATACCCCTTCCTCCTTTTTCGGCAGAGTCATCAAGTACCTGTAGGTAATACCAAATGCAACAACCCAGCTTAGTTCCTCCTCTCGTAAACTTCGTCCAGACAAATTAATATAAAAGAATACACCTTTGAGAAGTCGATAAAATAAAGGTTGAGGGAAGTATAATCAGCAATAAATCATAATGTATTTTTTTACGTTTCAAGTAAGTACTTTAGGTTTATACAGGAAGCGCCTCACCACTGGAAAACAACTGGAAAAATTGCACATTCGGGGTTAGCACACGAATTTAATCTCACTTTCCTTTATATATCTAAACAATTGCCGCTTTCGAACGAATCTCAATAAACGGTCACGTGCTTGAGCTAATTAGACGTAGAAATAGCATAATGTCTTGTCCTTAAACTGAAACATCGCTGTCCCGAGCTTATCAGGACCAATATAGGCCAATGTAGTCGTCCTGTTCATAGCTATTGTATTTGATTTCATTGTTGTGCTGTTGTTAAGGTTAATCGACATGCGTCAACCATTTCACAGACAAACGTAGTCGAAGACGAATCATTGCGCTGCACTATATATATATAGTCATCATTTCTATATTCTTTATCATTCCATAGTTTGTCTATTTACAAACCGCCTATTGTTTATCTATTATTGTATGGACCTATTAATAGATGCATTCATAGTCTAGCATCTTAACGATCCTACCTACTGTTACTATTTGCGACGCTGTACGAAAGGCACCGTTGGACCAAATGGATATATGCATATATATATATGTATTTACCAAATGAGTTGCTTTCCTTAAATAACTTTATGATAGAGTGGCCAGGGCAGTTCAGATTCTGGCTGTGTCCTTCACTTTTGAACCTCAGAATACCGACGGGAACATAAATAATGATAAAATTTAGCAATCCAGGCGCTGGAAAAAGTTTCAATTCGCTCCCTCTTATGCACGGCGTGGCTCTACAAGAAAGTGAGCTTGACGTCGCAATTTATGCAAGTGTAGATGATATTTTGATTCTTAGATGTGTAGAAACATTGCGCAGAACACCAAGAAGGCCGCAATAGTTGACATCGCGCCCGTCCTACATGAATGACTACTTAAACGTAAAAAAACGGTACGCAACACACCTATATTAATGGTGCGACGATCTTATATCTTGCATTACCCTATAATTAACATAGTCTTAACACTGGTAACGTTTCTCTTGTGACATATTAGTTGAACATTTTAATTATTAGGACTGTTTATTTACAACAGGGACGATCTGCGCCCGTAAGTTTGCGTCGGTCGTCTCACTCTGTTGTGGGCGTCCTTGATTCGGTAAAAGCCTCCTCCTTGCACCGCCATGTGTCATCCTTTGTTGCTGTCTCGATAACCACTCTGATTATTATTTATTACCACTACTGTTTCTACGTGCGTCCATTGTCGATGTGCTGGCGTCATGCTGTCGCCTGACCTTTTTCTCATCTTACTTTTGTGAACATTCGATTGTCTGCCGGTAGCTTCATGAATGACAACATCGGCTATTATACCGTTTTCTTTTCGTTATGTGCTTCTTTATTCAAACGGTGACAACCCTGCGCCCCCCCCCATCGCAACAATCGGCAACAATAGCATAACCACGTATTCGGCTACTTTGTGTCGATCGAGGGCGCACTGGCTCCACAATAGCTAGCCGAAGATGCTCGCGTAGTCATCTGGGCCTTTATTTATACTACACTGATTATCATTCTATCACTTCTCGTGAGAGTATACGAAACGAAGATAACGTAATATTAACATTAACAAAGTAACGTAACATACATTAACGGCAGTCGACATCATAGAAGCGTAATAATGGGGAAAAAAGTGTTAGCAGTTTGTGGAAGTAATACGTATTCAAAACTCGGACAAAACCTTACATTATTGCGAAACATGCCTAGATGACAGGCACACAATCGCTTCTTGTTCTATTGGGATTTTTAGACGAGAAGGCCACTTCGGTGTCCAACTTCGAAACCTCTGAAATTAAATGCCTGGTAACACGCGTTACTACGCGCAACATTAGCTCGCGTGCAGAGCGCGTCGAGGCAGTAGTGCCTGAATTCACAATATTTGAAATGGAGTCCAATCTCTCGTTTCAGGCAATGCGAGTCCTCTTAAGTAAACGTACCCACTTTAGTTCCACAGGGGTGGCTAAGTCGACATACGTAGACACCAGAAACATGATTGTCAATTCAACGACACTGTTAATTGCCCCGATACGAAACAACTGAGCATTATTAGATTGTGTCATACTAAAAAAATAATAGTGTCTCTTGCTTTCGAGGCAGTGCTTCACACTATGTTCTATTCAACACAACAATTGCTACCTTGGCGGTTCTTTGTTCAGATGTTCCTTTGCAGCCCCACCGTTGTTCCTTGAATTCGCAAAAGCCCTCTGTAGAGGCCCGAGAAGGCAACCACCGCTGCCGTTACGACCTCAGCTGAGCGTTCGTGGGCCGGTTTGTACGTATGTCTCTGTGTCCCTCCGAGTCCGCGTGTGGGTGTTACACGAAATAGCCTGTTCCAACGAGCCAGCACTATCGCTCCGTATTATCTCTCGTAGTTTTTCCGTTGACATCATCAACAAAAACGATACTGTATGCTCACTGATAGCTAGGACCAAATCAAAGATTCAACCACCCCGCTATGGCTTTCTAAGAGTGAAACGAATTGCAGCAACGTCTCTTGCACAACATCGCAGCAACCCGTCGATCAGAACGTGTCGGCCGACTCTTTGTTGGCATAACAAAAGTTGTACGGTTAATGTCTCGTGGCCCTTTTTCAACGTCTTTTCTTTTCGGCCGTCTCTCCGAACGAGACGACGATTGGTGTCGCCCCACTCCCCGCGGTGCTCTCTGCTTGCCCCGCAGGAACGGGTTTACCTATGGTTGTGGTGCTGACCGAGCATGACAGGTAATTCATGTGTCATTCTATAGTTCATGATGATTCAATGTCGTCCGTGAAGCTAATTGGTGTCCAGGCTTCTTGTTGACATCACGAGTATGGTTTGACAGGAATCAAGAAGGACTGGTCATCGTTTTAACGTTGGTTATCGCAACGAGTATACGTCGATGAGCTTTTTCGTTAAAATGCCTCCACGTTAGGTTCCATCTGTTTTTATAGAATGATGTGTGTACATGTGCCAACTACTGAGACGAGTTTATGCTATGTTACATTGTAGCATAAGCTAACACATAAAATATAAATAATAAAAGGTTAAATATGTTTGTCGCTATTTAGCGTTCGTCCAAATCAAGCGTGTCAAAACTGTAGTTCGGAACTAGCCTCGTTGTCATCGGGAGTACTCACATTGGAGAATGTTTGGTTTAAGAACATCAGACAAAGTGAATCATTATTTGTGGCATATAAAAATATCTAGACACCTGATTACGTCCAAAGGAACTAAATCATCATTGTTCCTCTAGAACTTTTCGCTGATATTGCCCTGTTTTTTGAGTTGCAACCTAGTATTATCCAGCTTTCTTTCGAAGTTGTCTTTTCGGTGGAATAATAATCCTGCATTTTTAGATTAATCCTCGGAATTCGATAACCGTAAGTTATCTGTAACGTAATATCGATAACCGTAAGGCAAAACTATGTTTTGTGCTTAATACTTATATTGTTAGGCCTTCCATCAGACGAGTGGCTCCCAGCACGGAATGTAATACGTCTACGCCCGGATTCGAACATGAACCACCATGCGTTTTTAAGCTTAGCGGGCAAACATATTACCAACTGGAGAATATGGATTGATATAAATCACATATTATCCAAACGATCCGTTGGATCAGTCGATCGGCGGATGGATGCCACTAGATTTGTGTGTTCGTATAGTTTTTCTTCTACGAGCCACTTTCTACTCTTCCAATTATCTAATAATACCTTGCGATAATAACGGACTAATTATATACTTGATATAGACGCTTATCTTTTACCTTACAGATATTTGCTAAATAGAAATAGGAACTAACTAAAAGAAAAAACGACGCAGATAAAATTGGATGTAAATCAGCCAGGTTGTTAATAATTGACTATTCAAGATTTGTTGTTTCATAGTTATCTTCCAACATATCTCGCCACAATGAAAAACAGAAATAGTTAACGAGCTATCTACGTTATCGAAAGTGAGCAAACTCGATATCGTTGGATATTTTTACCATAAAATTCCTAAAAGTTTCTACCATGCTATCAACATAAAATCTCATAGAGAGAGAGAGAGGGAGAGCACTGGTTGATGAAAGGGAAATCTTAGTAAGCAAAATCCACAACTTTTCAATTACTGTGCACATTGTATGAAACACAATGTAGTATGTAGTAACATCATATATGAAAAATACGTGTAAGTGTTTATATATCTAGATATATATAATTAGTTAGCGGTGGCTTCTAGGGCGGACCATTGTTGGCAAATCATGCCCATAAAAATCATAGAGAGGCAACTGAGGACGGCGCCAGATTGTTCCTCTCTTGAACACATCGATATCCACAGAAACGGATCCTAGCAACAATAAGGTGCTAATTGAAAGAAAACCTTTGTGGATCTTAGCCCGCATTAGTCTAGTTAGTTCTTTCGACATAGCAGATAGGAGAACAGTTTCAATCCATCAGTGCAAAAACTAACTTGTAAACATTACGTTGGGATGGATGTGTATGTATGCTTTTTTTTCCTTCGGCCAAAACCTAAAAAAACAAGTCTTCTGACTCAAAATTTTCTTCTATTCAGTGTCTTTATCCCACAACTCTTTATGCTGTTTTAATTTATCTGGCTTAGTTCTCAAGATATTATAGTGCTACAAGAGATTAAGACGCAAGTTGTCCGATTGTTAAGTTCTTAAATTTTATCACTAATTATTGTGTAACGACACACCCAGTTCCAGATACAGGGACCCACAGTTGGTCCACATATATGTGTTAGTGAATTTCTACACGCTACTACTGATGCTGCTATTACGGTTGATTGTGAACTAGTGGCCATTGTTTTAGCCCAAGTTCAGCCACTTCTTGATGGGTGCGGGTGGTTCAAATGGTCCGGGTCCAGCTTAAACTTGATTTGTAGACGTGAGAGAGTCGCAATTCGAAATTGCTGCGCTATGCGAACTCTTTCGATGCAAATCAGATGTGGTCTATAAGGCGCGGATGAAATTCTGATTCATTTTCAGGCTTGACAACCTTTTGCGTAGAGCGCCTGCAACCTTAAAATACACTATCATCTTTCTGGCATCTATTTTTCTCGCACTCCAAAAAACAACTATATATATATATATATACGACTGTATATATATAACACTACTATACGACGATATATATATATATATATATATATATATATATTCGAATTTTGATGATATTATTGGGCTCTTGTGGGGAATTACGGTTATATCGTGTACGGGACGCGTTCTGCTTCATGTACAATGTTATAATGAATAAGTACACGAGAGACGTCTGTAAGTTTAATGTTAAATACCTATTTTTCCTTATGCTGTTCTACCGCTCCATAGGGCATGAATATATAGATTAACAATTGTTGTAAACTTTATAAACAATGTCTATATCGTATCACAGACACACACTATAACGTTTGCAATGGGTGGGTTACCTTAGCTTCAACTAATATTTATAATGCAACTCAATGCAAGCGGAGTCGAAAGTGAACCAATAACCAGCGGAGCGTTCTACATGTACGCGCATGTGCACGGAAGTACGCAAGCTGCTTACGTGAAGCCTCCGAGCTATCTAACAATATTGACCGTTTTTTTAGCTGGATAGCTTTTAAGTCAGATATTTCCAGTAATAAACGTGGTGTTTGTATTGGTGTCCTAAAACGAAGATTTGGTGGTAGTAGATCACCGAATATTGTAAAAATTGTGTCTTTATTTAGACCTGATGGATATAAGTGAAATTTTTGCAAATATTCCATATACGATAAAGACGCAGTGTTGGCTAGACCTATAAAAAATCTGTCTCGTTTACGGTACAGATATGGCGACTTTTTTGTTGCGTAGGGCCCCAAGACCTTGCGTTGCTTTCGACACTATGAAGTCTTATCAAGAATGATATTATGTTGTATCGAGACTGCCTTCCCCCACGTGGCGGCAGCAAAAAATAGCACCATGCTATCAATGTATCGAGTAGTTCTTGACGCATCTCCGAAACGTGACGCTATGAAGGTCGAGAAATTAATCGGGTCTGCCGCAGAGCTGCCTTAGGACACTAGTCACTTGTATGGCTGCCGTTCTGCATCGGCAATCAAACTGCCCTCTATTCGCTTAAGCTATTGTTGCTCGTGAGATGTATACGTTCTTCGCCTTAAAAAATGGAAGTTAAAAAGCGTAGTGCGCTGTCCACGTTGGCCATAGGACAGCAGCGCAAAAACGTATGCATTGCAATATAATTCGAATAATAATAATATACTGAATGCAACAAAGGTCTGTGGATTATCTTTGTATTGCGGTTCGAGTTTTCGACACTTCGTCACAAGCCTTGAGTCTAAGTTATAGAGTAGAGGTGTGGATTGATAAAATGGACGCGTCCCTTCCACAAAAATCAAACCCCTTCTCATGCTAATATCTCTGTTCAAACTTCCCGGGTAGGCACCCGATATTCACACAAGTGCCACAACTAGCAATGGGATATGCTATGCAATAATAATTGACCTGACGACAACTTAGCATGTTGAAATTCAGACAATCTCGTCTGTAGACGGCGTCAAAGACGACAGAGCGATGTACTCTTGCCGCCGATAACGTTTCTCTATACCTATTGTAGAATCACTCGTTTTCATCATTTTCATTGACGAGGACATTGTTGCTCAATGTGGCGTACATAGACACAGAGAGAGACATCTAAATCTACAATTTTTCTTGTAAATTGTTCCATACGGTTGAATCTAGGCGAAAAAAAAAAGATATTTCAATGAAATATTTAGCATGTATTAGACGCTTTTGTTAGATCGATGACGATTTGTCTGCTTGTGCAATATGACCACCATTTCCCGCGGTTGCAGCTTTAATATAAGGCTTAAATCGCTAACTAGCCATATTTGGAATGTTCCTTCTTTAATTCGCAAATTACTTTTTAATTGTAAACTCGTTAAAGCGTCGCTTAAACGTGCTAGAGGCAAAAAAGCTTCAATACAAATCAATTTTGAGCTAATAATAGCCCAAGAATCTTAAGAACTCAATGACTCTAAACGGTTAAAAAGATTCAAAGGTATATAAAATTCTCAAAGGGACTAATCAGTGGACGACTCACTCGGCAAGATACATTGTCCTTTTTGAAATGGTCGTTTACTTCTGCATGTAAAAGCTTTTTTTAAGTTATTTCGATAGGCTTTTGATCTCTTTGAGTGTGAATTTTAGTAAAGGTCTTCTAGTTCATTTCGTGTAAGCCTTTATTGAATCTTTCAAACGCCACATGAAAACAAATAATTCCGTAGATTATACACTTCGAGCGAGACGAAGGATCTAAACACTGGTGGGTTCCTTTGGCGTGGAAAAAATAAATTGTGGCCAATTTTGGCCCGGATTCTAAGGATGACGCATTGTTTTTTGCCAAAAATATTCTTTTCTATCAGAAAACTGGCTTTCCTTTGGTACAATGAACGCCTGCCCGTTGTCCAAACTTAAATGAAACATCCTATATATATATAGAGTAGTATGAATCACTTTTTAATATTGTGCACTCGTACACATAAGCACGGACAGCGGAAACATTTCTATGTGTGGTAAAGTGAAATGTTTACAGCGAAACCGTTTACATCTTTCATAGTAATTTTAAGACGTCAGCAAACGTAGCAGTATATCAATGCCGAAATACTGTATATAGTGGGTGTCTTACGGGAGTTGACAACTTTTTCCTTTGATACTATTGATATTTTGACAGGATAATGTTAAATTTATTAAGTATCCATTAGTCGTTATAGCTATCAGCTTGTGTAAGCGCAACAATAGGCAAACGTTCTTTTCTTCTACAAGTCTTATGTCACTATAATTACTAGAAATTGTTCGGCAACTTAAAGTTAGGAGCAAAGTTATTTGGTTTACTAACAAACAATGTGAGTAAATGCTACTGATACTGTACTACCGATACTGTAGTGCAGCAGTTAGCTAGCTACGCGCGTGTTACATATATATCGATATGGCCTAAGAGACTAACGACTTAAGCAAGATGACGTGTGTCAATTTATGGTGAAACGTAGCGTTTACGTCCGACCCATTCAAGTTCAAATTCTGTTCACCGTACTATCGATGAAGTTATGAAAACCAATCGATTAATATGTGTCGAAGAAGACTATCGCGAAATTACCGCGAATGTTGCAAGTTATGCAAACGTACCTTAGAGCAACACGCCATATAATATGGAGCGTTGTTCAGTGTACCTATATGCTATTCGGCCTTCGTAGGATAGGACAAGCATCTTAGGAGGTCAGGGTAGCCACCTGCATCTCCTGTTCTTCGGGCCCGTTTGCTATATAGGTTCGAATTGTTATTTTATTCGTAAATGATAACACAGGCAATGCGGCGTGCTCAGCATTTCGAGCTTGTATTGTTTACCCGAAAGGCCTACATGAGGTTACCAATGACGCATCAGCCATGTCATGGGTACATACGAGCTTCGAAATATAACTTCATTTTTTGGCGTAGGGGGTCTAAAAACGTTGCAGAGGAGAACTTGATCGATACCATATACTGATGCGTGTCCATAGTGTTTTCAGGTTTCGAAACCCTGCGGGACTCGGCATCAAACGAAGAAAAACCTTGTATTCAAGTTCACTGTATCTGCTTAAGACAGCGCTTGGATAGAGTAGATATTTTTCGCTGATAACTGTGCACTAATGGTGCTCGCATAAAAGAAATAAGTTCAGCATGTCCGCCACATCTTTAAACAGATTGTCGCCTTTCAGATGGCAGCGACAGCGGCGGCAGATATGTATGATGTATGTAGATATTCCGAAGGATTGCGAGACGCATTTGGAGACTTACCACTGTGCCGTCGACGCTGACGCTAACTTTCGATTGTGACGAATAGACCTCGACAGTAAGAGCTCTGGGCAATGGTGGTCCGGCCAAAAAGAAGGCGCTCTCGCCCAAGGCATTCCCCGCTCCAACGGCCTCCGCGTCGCCATCACCCTCGAGGGCCTCTTCTCGAAGTTTATGATTTACGTCCATGATGAACATGACGTTGACACACACGGTCACTGACAAGACCACGATCACCAAACACCTGCAAGGTCCAACACAGGACACGAAATAGCAGTCAATTTTTCTAACAGTTGAGTGCGGCTCAACGTGAAAGGCTGTCGGTGCTGAACGCAACGTGTAAACTGGCCTCTGATAGCCTGCGTCTTGCGCTGCACGATAGCCACAGGTATTGAATTTCTAATTAAATGAAGCATCGACGATCAGCTAAAATACGATGCTGAATGAGAAGCAATTTCCGTAGCCATACGAAATAACAGCCGTGGAAGAAATTCGTCGGATCTCTGCTCAGTTACCATGAGTGCCCATGCCATTCAAGAACCTAAAAACTATAGCCGTACTCGATAAGCTAGCTAAAAGGTTGTGTGTGCCTTTAATCCTACTCCCGGTTTTTATTTTTTATAGCTACCTTTATCCCGCGAAGCTTTGGCGTTTTCGCCTAGAAAACTTTTGACCACAACAAATATTTTCTAAGAAACAAGTAGGCGGTGGGTACTATGGCAAATACTTTCCGAAATTGTTTGCGCAAAATACGATTGTTCGGAACACAATTTATTGCATAATTGCTCCCTATTGTCAAATTTTCACGGCTAAAAACAGCTAATGATGCGTTTACTGAGAACTGCCTTTAATTATTTGTAAAACAAACAGATATTTACTCGCGTGCTGAGTCAGATAAAAGGCCGTAGAGCCTGCGAGGCCTGGTGTAGTCTCAAAATGCGGCCGCCAACATTAGAGCAACTGTAGCGGCACAGTAGTAATAACTATTTATTTACTTATTTAGTACCCATTAGGTCTGGCTCCTTTACACTCAGAAAGGTATTCAACTACTTGAACCGGTGAATAGCAGCAAAAGGCAACTTTCTAATCCGACGAACGTGACTGTAGGCGTGACCGGTTTTTCTGAAGAAATAAACGAGCGTTCGTATCCATTTTCTGACATAACACTATCTGTTAAAAAAGTGATTTTAAATAGCAACGTTCGTCTTCTCTCTGCCGCACTTAGTTCGACTATATATCATGAAACGATGATGGACGCCTTCACGGAAATTGTGAAACAAATATGAAGTAATTGCTCGCCTACGTTCATATGGACAAGGAAACCTTCATAAACTACCTGGGTGTGCTAGTCATCTGATCTGTAGATAGCAGGACTCCATATTGTGCCTACCGCCTGCTACAGGGCAGCTATCGTCGTCTGCTATAACCATTAGCGCCACGACGTAAAGAACAGCACAAACAGATGCAAGGATTAGTTGTTGTTGTTGTTGTCAGGCTAATAGCAGCTACAGAAATAGGTAGACGCCGTCACCGCAGGTTCGACAACGACACTACTGCCCTACCCTTCTGGTAAAGATTCTGCCTACTGCTGTCGCTGGCTCCACCGCCACAAAAGCCACAGCAAGGCGACGACATCATGCTTCGCCCCTTCTACTTTTCTTTGTGTTCTTTTCTATTTTCTTCTACTCTTTTCTATTTAGTTGGTTGTAGTCGTTTACTTGCGGATCGACTCCCATTTGTCATCACTTACTTCCTTATGCGCGTTCATTGAAATAGCCTTTGATATGTTCTCCGATATTTTCGACTACGTCCCCTCCACCGTTTTCCCTTACTCGCAGTTATTCGCTATCTTCTGTCGAGCAGGAGTCGTCGGTCTTTTTTTTTCTGAACAGCTGCTGTCAATGGCATACGCAACCACTGCAAAGTATTGCGAGCGCCGGACCGCTGCTGCTGCCAACCAACACTGAATGGCTTGTATATTCCACTGATGATATTCTTATTGCTGCTGCTGTTATCGCCATGGGCTCAAAATCATGTCACAAGCGACGACGGCCTCCATTTCCACAGTTCGTTGTTGCCGAGCGTTGTTACATGAAGACAACCGCTATAAAATCATATGCGAGGGCAGTCGCATCAGCCGGTCGTCATCGTCAGTTGCTGAAGCAGCCCATAGCCGTGATTGTTTGCGACGTTTCCTTCTGATGATTGTGAGCGATGTCGTAACGCTAGAATCGTCTTGCCTCGCCATCATCTTTGTTGCTTATCCACGGACATGAGTGGAGCCTGCAGGCAGTGGAGACTCATTAGCCCGGCTCCTCGGTGACAGCCCAACTGCAGTGCAATTCCCCTGACAGAGAAGTCTTCAGTTGAAATGATGATCCCGACGCGAAGTGGTGAGGTGTTCCGTCGCATCTAAGCTGCTGTATTTTATACATGTCGCTTATGCTCCATGCCAACAACACGTAACTTAGTTAGGAGGCTATTTGCAATTCGTCCTGGCCAATGGTCGTCATTAAAACATCGTTCGCGGCCGCTGCTGTTACAATCGATGTCGACTGCCGCTGTCAACTTGGCTAAAATCGTCATGGCTTAGATAGTCCTATTTTGACATCATGTTGTGAAGCGATCTCAACAACAACAACAACAATACTAATAACTTAGCGATGCGTAGTAACAACAGCGGTCGCAGTCGGCATTCGTAAGATAGGTATTCTACAGATTGTAGGAACATCTCAATCGGCGGCTTCGGTACACCATTGGGATGGCCCCGTTTGATCTCAATTGTCCCTCTAGTGAATGTAGTTTGTTGTTTCCTTCCCATTTGTTTCTGGCGAGTGCAATGTTCCCAGCTAACGAATATCATCATTGGCTGATTCTATCGCCCTCCACCGTTAACAAGAGTACAAACAGATTAGCAGCTACGTTCCGCAAAACAGGAGACGTCTACTGGATCATGAGTCAAGGATCAATAAATCGTAGACAGAAAACGTTTTTCGGATTGAGTCTTTAGAGCTTTTCACTGAATCTATTTTCGATATTAATAGATGCGCGAAAATAATGCAAAGTCTTCTAGTACGGTTACGTTACCATTTATCGAATCGGTATACAGTAAAAAAACGATACAAAGTAAGATAAGTCCTGAAAGAAACAATAAAGTGTTTCCGGGAGCGTTTTATCTGTAACATTTTTTAATAATAAATAAATAATTTTTGATTCGTTAATTAGATTTATTAACTAAACGCGTTACTATTTCATTTTGTTATATGGCTATTAGCGACTAAAGAAGGTAACCTTTTTGAAAAAGCTGCACTGGTCGATTAGCCCAATTGTACGACACGGTTATGAGAACTACATATATTGTACGTTAAGTGAAAAGGCCATATCAAAGAGTCGTCTAGAAACATTGACCCCACACTTTTTTCTTTATACATATTCTTTGTATAAAAATATCAGCTATATTACGATCATGTGACGAGAAGTAACAACCCCGCGCGTTCAGCAATGGCCGAGATAGTTCCATCTGCTGATGATTGTCGAAGCCTGAGAAACGAACGCCCTTAAGGCCCAGCTGAGACAGAAGGTACAGAATTAGTCACTGCTTACCGTCTTTTTGCGGATCCAACCAAAGACGATATTAAAGATGCTTACATCGAAAAGATGCCTTGCGCTCACTTAGTACTGTCAAAAGTAGCAGCAGCAGTAGCAGCAACAATAACATTAAGGACAAGGTAAAGTAGAGCGAAAGAAAACGCAAAGCAGGACAAGTAATACTCATATTCATAGTAAAGCGTTGTGATGATGATGGTGGTCATTGCCATGACGGTATTTGACCAAGTGATGTATTGACCCCATTTTCTCGTACGATAGCAGTGACACCCATTTAACCGCTCAATTCTGTTTCGCAGAGTTTAGATAAATTGCATCGGATATATAAAAGCTGATTGCGTGTCGCGATGCAACATATAGCTTATGCTACAAAGCAAAGCTGGACGAGTGCGTCATAAACAGTTCAAATCAGCTCGTGAGAAATCCTTGCGAACAAACTATATGAAAAACATATAGCGTTGACGCTTTCTTAAGACCGTGATCAAAGATATCAATCTATTCCTTGTTTGAGTCTAATACTTGGCCAATGTTAACGTGCGATACTCGAACTGTTGGGTGGTCAACACTGATCAAGCGCAAATAACGATACTGGGCTACAAAACGCACACAGACTCGAGCGCCAGACGATACATTGACGACAGTTCAGGCTATGAGGCACAGAGAAAAAGCAATGAACCGAGCTAGCCACCAGCAATGCGCAGTAACACATATTTAAACAAAGCTAGACCAGATGAAGCTGGTAAAATGAGGCTCCATTTCTACATTCGACCACAATAGGTTCGCTTTTCTGATAGCGTTCTCTGGGGACTATCTCCGGAGTGCATCAACTCCATCGATGATGACGACGACGACGACGACAAGGAACAAGACGGGATTATAGGAAAAGAACAGCGATGCAGAACGTAAATATCATCATACCAACTATTTGGCTATAAATAATAGGCAGCCTATAAATAATCTCGCAGGATGTATAATATTTAAGCGCAAAACCACTCCTGGTGTAAAAGTGCCATCACGATTTATACTCATATTATTTGTAAACGTTTGTTTCTTAACGATTTTCGGTTATTTTGTAACACGCTGCGCGTCTGGAGGCCGAACTTCGAAACAGGAAAGGACGTATACCTGCTAATCTATTTGTCTCCATGCTATAACGCCATTACGACACAGCAGACTCCCTTCCCGCGTTTAACAAACATTTTCTTCTACTCAACAAAAGATGTCTATACAATACGAATTACCAAAGAGGCCTACGATACCATATCTGTGACAACATACGACCTATTACGTATTTGAATTATCATCCAGAAACTCATTTATAATATGTATAATAATTGTATGTGGCAATAAGTACGTGTAAATAGCAATGGCTTACCTTAGTAAATACAGGAAGCTATGTCTTTTGACGCATACATGGATATCAGTATCTCATCAATGGTCTAAACGGGAGGCTTTTCATAAATACAATTGTTGTTCTCTGGCTTGATAGTATATCAAGCAAAATTTGCCATTTTTTGACTGAAATGAGACAACTGTCGCTGATAGGGGAAATGTCAACCTCAAATTATGTGAATGAGAAACTTAGTACGATTCACATGTACTGTTTTATTGAAACTTGCATCTTATCATTACGTCGTTCCTGAGCTGTGTTTTTTTTAAATTTATTATGACAAAAGAAGAATCTAACCGTGATACGTTATATCTTGTTTCGGAACGAAAAACGCCGTGTCTGGACATTATCTCGTCGAAACAGCTACTCCATTCAGCCCAGCAATATTATGGTCCCATAAGGGTGAAGTATAGGCACTAACAGGAACAGTCACTATCATCATCATGGCTACGATGACCGCAGTTGCTCCATGGCCGCGTCATCCTGAGTAGGACAATGGCGGTGCTGCTGGTGGCGGCAAGCGAAACTAGCGAAATAAAAACAGTAAATTGCTATAATTTTTCTTATTATCATCTGTGTTCTCCTCGACACGTTGACCGGCAGCCCATGCTTTATAAACAACAATGAACGAACTGTTATCGAAAGCTATCAAATCCAACCCAATCTGTTTAATCGCTGCTGACATTTTTTGTTGATAGTGTTTGTCGTACACGCGTCTGTTCATACTCGTAATCAAGTAAAAGTATCTAGACGGGTTGAAGACAGCCTGCAGGCTGGGTTTAGCGGAGAGCCAAAGCTACACATTCAGATTTTAGCGTTGTTGAGTGCCGTCACGATCGTTAGTTAACCGGCGGGATCCACGCGCTGACTCTGACGGTAATAGTGAACTCTCAGGCCACGGCCACGGTTAAATGGCGCGAGGCACTGCACTACTTATTCATTAATTTAATCGAGTACGATAATATACTTCTGCTCACATTTCATCCAGCTCTCGTCGTGTCTCTACTCTACTGCATGGTGGGACGGAACCAACTATATATATATATATATATGTTTTCTAGAAAAGTAGTCGCTGAAAGAACTTCGCATTCGTTACTACCATTTAGCGAGATTGCGGCCTGTAACGATGTTTTTTTTTTATTAACATATTGTAGACGTCATAATATTTAGGTAACAATCTATATGGCAATTTTGTGAATACGCTGTATCAACGTGTTGTCACAGAATTTTCCTGTCACCATTGAAAAAATTCACTGTTAGGCACTGGCGCTTGTCGAAATTAAAGGTCACTATCGAAAAAGTCGCCTCTTACTTACCGGAAAAACTTGGTGATCAGCCTTTTGTGATTTAACAGTAACTTCATTCTTTCTCTTCTGCGATTCCTTCTATTGTTGATCTCGTTGTTACGGGCTATGTGAATCAATCAATTGATCAAGCGTGTTTCCCAGCTTGGGCTATAGCCATACGTTGCTTGAGGGAGGGACCGCGTATGCAATGGCGACGTCCCCCTAACAAGATTAGTAACAATCATATAATAAAAATAATGATTTGACTAGAAAAAGAATAGATTTGCACGTAGTGTCTTCCCTGTTTGTCTTCTCCGGTTTAATTCTCGCCGCCGCCGCTGCTGCTGCCGTAGATCTTTTGTCAAGCCTTTCTTGGTTCTGGTATTGTTGTCGTTGTTGCTAAAGTAGACGATTAAATCGCAACACTTTTCCATGGGTAACAGCTGAGGCCGTTAGCTGCTGCTGCTGCTGCTGCTGCTTCAATAGTAGGAGATATTGTTCTCGATTCTTTAATACAATATTGTATACAAAGTGAAGTACAATGGATGAGATTTAGAAATCTCGATTGCACTGGGCCTCACATTCTGCCGCTTGGCTTCACCTCGAGACCACTGGCGCGCCGCCTGCAAATTACGAGAGTCAACAGCAAAAAGTAATGTTATTAAATAGATACCCTATGTTATACCCGTATTTGATAACTATCCGTAACACAGAAGTCATAGATACGATCTCCCTTTATTGTCCCGACAATATTCTATTGTTGTTCCAAAAGTAGGATAGAACTGCAGTCACACTAACTATGAAAGCTCCGGAACAATTTGGGTCGGGTCAGTATGAAAAGTAACGGCTGAAGCTACTAAGAAAAAAATTGTCTGATCTTTGCTCAAATCGAAGAGTGTCGCCTATGGCTACTGCGGTGCTCTCACTAACAGTTAGCACTCAAACACAGCTCCCATATGACGCCTTTCTTCTCAGCGTAGACATGATGGCGTATATACGAGCGTTTTTCCGCACGTTTTTCAAATCAGTTATCATTAACACGCCATTAGTTACGTCGGGCGCACTTGCTGTTAATTAGATACGACACACTAGCTTAAGCTTGTACTCGTTATGTTCAAAATCTTAGCACAGGTTGCTCCGCGGGGTACAGATCAACGTTCGTAGCTAGACATACACTTGCAAATTTCAGACCCAAAACGGCCTTCACCTGGGATCGAGGCATTTTCATATAGCGGCCTATGCGTTTTTTTTTTAAAAAACACTTTAGTTTTTTTAAAAAAAAAACACTTTAGCTTATTGAGCGCGAATACAAAAACTCCTCAAGACATCGCAGACGAGGTCTGTGCTGGACGCCAAGCGTGGGAACTGACGAAAATGTGCGTTGTAATTACAATGGATTATGTTATTTTTAAAATGTAAAGTAAGTACGAACACACAATTTACATAGTCAATATGTAACGAACGACAAGCATAAGGAACATCTGATCAACGAAAGAAAAAACGTTCCGGCCAAACAGGTCCTGTGATTCCACGGGTGGCCTTCTATACTAATGATTATTTTGCTGTTTCCACTTAGTGTAACACTTAAGAATAATTTTTTTGTGCTTGTACTCTGCAGAGCCAGCTAAAGCTAAATCATTCTGTGTGATAACATTGGCAATTTATCAAACGAATGTAGCGCAGATTGTCGCTTATCACCGAATCGCCCGATAATGATAGTCGTCCTTTTCTTCTTCACACTACAGGACACTGAATGGTTTTCGAGAGAAATTTATCATCAAAATTCTGCTAACATTATATCATATATCTATTTTTATTGCAAAATCTGCAGGAGCGGCCTGAGGCCAATTAATCAAATGGCGTTCATATTTAATTTAAATAGTTCCATCAGTATTACAGAGAGCATTCATTAAACTCATTTGGCCTTGTACATAATTAATTCGAAGGTGTCTGTATTACACCCATCGGTCACACTGTACGCCTCTAAGCCACACTCAGTCATTGTGCGAAACCCATATTGAGTAGAATCAATAGGGGCTACTTGGGTTTAGATCTGGAGAAAGAGAGCGCAATGTAAATTGAGTCATGAGGGTAAGTATTTCAATTTTAGATGGAAAATTAGAGCATATAAGTGTTCCTTGTGCATAAATAGTGAGCAAGACATATATATATGATATGTTCAAGTGCTCTTGCATACACTTTCCGCACATATAACGCATTTTCTCTAGTCTCAGTAAAAATGGAATAACAGTAAATATAGAAAACACATCCTAAACGCAAGGGCTCCACTCAGCAAATCACGGATTATTCCAGCACGTACACAATATACTATTGCATTTTCAACATTTTACAGGGTAAACATTTTGGCAGAATATCCTATATAGGACACTGACCTTTCGAATCGAAGGACCAACATTTAGCGCCCGGGGCACTAAACACACAGAGGAAAATCAACATCTATAAACTTGTCTCGCATGACAATTATGAAGCTCATAGAAGACATCTATAGCGGGCTTTTAGGAAAACTTGAGCAACTTATAAGTTATGGACGCCATATTTTCGACCCCCCAAACTAATTAACTCAAATCTAATAATTACCACATTATCATGATGGACTAGAATTATAGTGATGTATTTTTAAATGCACCAAGTAAAAAGTGCATAGTCCTTTTTGGGATGTTCAATCAAATCATTGTTGTTCATCTTATTATAGGCACAAATTCAAGTGACAGGTCGACAAAACGAAGTCGATTTTAGCCTTTGTAGGACAGCTTTGGCCATCTGCTAGAAAATAACCGTATCGTATATGCGCGCCAAATTATTCTGAGATAACAGTATTTGGCTTTGGTATTAAGCTCTAAAGGCAAAAACCAAAAAACTCTTTTGCTCCTAAGCCAACAACCGAGACCTAACAATATCGAATAATTCTAAAGTTCATCCAGTGGTTGAATCGGCGAGGCGTAGTTACTATATGTTTCACTTGAATATAGATATATGTCTAGTTCTAGAAGAGTCGCAACGTGCAAGCTCAACGAAGTAAATCAATTTCTGATCTTGTACCTTGTGTCGTACGCCCGAATCATCATCATCGTCGTCGTGAATATTATTACGGCAGGAATAATCATCCTGAGACGAGGTGTCGCGAAGACCAAACGTCTTCATCTCATAACTGGCCGCACGCATGACTAAATGCGGTGATGCTGACACGGGGCTAAGTTCGTGTAAAGATACTAGATCGCGCAAATGAATAGCCCACAACCCGCTCCCTTCTATAAATTCGTTTCTGCGAAGTCAAACAAAAACCATCTCCGCAGGTTTGAGACGAACAACCGCTTCATAACGACAGCGGCAGTGACTGCAGTAGCACAGCCGTATAAAACTGGGGGAACGTATAACTGGACGGATGATTCACTGGGGGACCGAATGAACGAAATACATCGAACGGTATAAGCTGACGCGGTGAGGATAGATCATCTGTTAAGTATCGATTGACATAAAAATAAGGATACACCAACACAGTCAGCTTGAGCTGTAGGGGAATTACGCTAACTGCGATTTGTCGTAAATGGCTGCCGATTACTATTTTTTTGTATAACCACTTTGCCTTTTTATGTACTACCACTATAACATTATAGAAGGGCCGTTCAGCGTTGACACAGCGGGCAGTGGTACATGAACAACTGAGATACGCTCAAAATAAGCTTATTAGAGCCGACGCTTTCCACCAACGAAAACAGAGCCTTCCCATTGGTGCTAGTCAACTTTTCTCTCTATGACTGCAAGAGAGATTGCAGTTGGACTTATTTTCCCTAGGATTTCTCTCAAAAACTTTCAAGCTTGGATGGACGTTTTGTGAACATCGATGGCTCAGTCTGCATGGGCATACATTGCCTGCTGACTTAAAGCGTTGCAGACTAAAAACGAAAAAAAAAAAGTAATAACAACACGAGTATGCATACAGACACGTGTGTCCGTAGATTGTGTGTACAGTGAATTTTACTTTGTGGTGCTCGTTAGGTTTAATAGCATAAGATTAGTTTTTTTTTTTTGTTTATTGACAAACATCAAACGACAAGCGAGCTAGAGGCACAAAAAAGTACGTTATTATCTTTTAAACTGTCACTAAATTAAACCAGTCATAATGAAATGGCTTCGTCGTCGTGACTAAATGCCGTTTTGTTAAGATCGCAAACGGCCACCAATTCGACTTTTTTACAAAATAAATATACTTTCTGCGATAATAAATAATAGCAGCAATAAAAATACGAGTAGCACGATACAGGGACGATACCGTCTATTACTATTATTATCAACCCTGACAAAATATTAATTTTTTCGCAGATTCAATATTATATTATATCGTTAGGAAATATGGCCGACAGCTCACACTGGTGTAAAAAATATTTTCAGCTTTTCTGCACCCTTCGCGGAAGCACCTATTTTATAACAGGATTGGAAACCGAAAACGATTCTACGATACACCTAAACCTTGTGCTAGTGTAATTTTACCGAAAATAATAATATTTCATGTTACGGCGCTCTTGGAGCATCCGGCCTGCTGCTTTAAGCTATTACCACAAACAGTAATAAGGAACGACAATTAAATTACGGACATCACATACGATAGTAGTAACAATGATTGTTTTCCCTGTTTTAAGTACTAGACTGATTTACAATGAGACCTCAAGTTCAGTAAGCGTTACCTTCTAGGACCTTAGGAACCATCCAATTCTTAGAGAAGTCCGTGCCTACACTGTACGCTAATCACAATTTCATCACATAAACATAAAGTTTTTGTTTCTCTACTGCGCTTTTTGGAACTTCGATGACTTTCGAAGCTCGTCCAAACAAGCATATCCGAAGTGGTTTTTCTTTTTTCAGCTGTTTCCTTTTTTCCCTTAACGACTTCTGTTCCGAATCGTTGAAGAACCGCTCCCTTTGTCAAAAACGCATACAGGCATGCAAATCCCACTTGTCGCCCAAACAAAAGTGAAAGATTGCGTATAGAAAAGCCAAACGGGTAAAAAGGTTGTTCATGTATACGAAACGTATTTTTTAATGTGACCGCTTTCTTGTCAACAGAATCTGACCCCTTGAAAAATCTACCTGTGACTGTGGTCAGACAGGTAATTAACGACTATCGACTTCGAAAGATGAATGATTTTTACCACATCTACATCGATCAAGAAATGGCCGAAAATGCTAATTGACCTCATAGTTAATATATTCATCAACTGCGTATCGATAATCCGCAAGTTTTTTTTTTTTAAATATAAGCCTGAGAGACAATGCCCAATAGTTGGCAAATAATTTTTGCGTAGTAAGTTGGCATTTTAAGGTCTACAGAAGGTTTGCAACTGAAAATCAGTTGACAGGCGAAATTTTCTTATATTGGAATTAACTCAATGTCAGAAGAGTGGATATTTGCTGTGTCCAGACCAAGGTACCCTTAACTTAACTACGAAATGCCGGGTCATTAAAAACCACATGATGTATTCATATTTTTGTATTTGTCTCATTATGGGACACTCTTTGATGAGTTCTAATCATTTATTTACTAGGGGCTAGCAGTCTAACAAAACACTGCTATGTATGTATTATCATTCAGCACGGATCGTTCCTT